GTATGAGACCCATGAGCTGTCTTTTTCTCTTCTGCTGCAATAAATGGAGTCTGAATGGCTGACGGGCAGGAAGAGGAGGCATTGTAGGAGGTGGTCTGGGAGATTTTGAATCTATTTCCTAAAGAATAAAGATGCACCGTGCATAGGTAGCATGACTATTGCTATAGCATACTTCAAAGTGGCTCTTGTTGCCTGGTTTTATAGTCAACTGTTGACGTGCTTTTCTCATTGCCTTCCAGCTAAATAGGAACTGTCTCTCCATCTCGTTTACATCTCTGCCATCAAGTGACTCTGATAAAACAGCAAAAAATGGATTGCATGAATTCTGACTCTCCATTATAAATTTAAAGTGATAGTAAGTACTGAGTGACACATATTGTGCATTAGTATCAATACTCACCTAGCCTGTGACACATTGTCACAACCCTGTCACGATACTTCTGCTTGTAAGAAAGTGGGTTTCCATTAAGCTCCAGTTTCCAAAGCTTTATAAACCTCGAGAGAACCTTTCCTAAATCCTGCAAGCAATAAAAAGAGCAGAAATGCTTGCAGCATGCATCATTATCAGTATACCTTCATGCTAGTCAAGTCATTATCAGTAGCCATCAATTGCTCAAGATTGACAAGCAGACCTATGTCTTCTAAGCTTGCTAGGCGATTGCCTGATACATTAAGAATCGTGAGGCTATTCTGCAATGTAATCAAACATTTTGCAAAAACCATGCATTATGCAAACTTACCACTATAGCTTTGAGGGAGCGTGGATCAAAGAGAAGCTTTTCTCCTTCGGGGAGATTTTGGTGTGAAATGTGGAGCTCAGAAAGACGCGATAATTGTTCCAGCCCTTCTACTAGTTGTATGGAGTTATGACTAAGATATCTATTAAAAAAGAAATAAAGAGATGGGAGGGTGTTAACTGATAACTCTTACAGTTTAGTGAGATTGTTCAATTTGTCCAGGTTCTCCATTCTAAAGATGGAGTTATGCTGCAAGTAGAGGTGAGTGAGATGATGACAGCTATTGAGTCCACTTATTGTTTCTATTTGATTATCGTACAGGTACAGTACAGAGAGATTGCGGCAGTAGTGCAGGTTTTCCTATCATTAAAATGGCTCATTAGTGGCTGCTG